TGATAAAGAGAAAAAAAGAAGAAAAAAGTTGAAAAAATTTAGTAAAAGATGAATATTTAGGAAAATAACAAAATTCAAAGATTTAGAAGAGTAAGAAGGCATAGAGGGATACGAATAGGGGTGGGAAAAACCCTGTACAACCCATACTTCTCCCCAGATCGAACAAAAACCCTAAAAATGCGTGAGAAATGAACTTAAAGACCAGAAACTATTGAGCTTGACCACTCAAACATGTCTTAACACTTTGGTCAAGGGGGTACTATCCTCTTATACCTGAGTACTACCACCAAAAGGGGTAGGGGTCTCAAATGCGAGCAACTGACCTTAATCAAATCGCACACCTGTTATGACTCATACCACTCAGTCACTACTAGCCTCTCTCTCTCTCTGCGCCATAGCCATACCAAACAAAATTTTATAAGATTTACCCCACCACTTTTTGGGGGTAGTCAGCGAATATACGGCACTAGCGGGCAATGCCCTGCACTTCCTCTTCTCCTCTTTTGCATTTCTAGCACTTGATTTTGATTAAAATGCAAAAAACACATCATATTCTTAATAAATATAATACGATTAGAAGACCATAAATGAGCAATTTGTCATGTGCGACTGCACGACAAACTGGACACCTGCCTTGCCGCTTCACGTTTTATTTGCAGAACACGAGTACGAGTATTTCGCAACACGCACGCAATTCAATGCTCACGCTAGATATCCAGATACCCACACACTACATCCCACTCACACTTCAACCGTCAGAGGCTTCCTTCACCTATTCCTACCTACCTACCAACACACAAAACAAAAACTTAGCGTTGGTTTTATTTTTAATTTCAACTTTTGTGTTTTGTTCTTGGATTTCGGTCCTTAATTAATTAGTAATCGCTGTTTGGTTTACTAGGTCGACAAGAACGCTGCTTTACTAATGCCTTTTTGATGCTCGACCGATTCAGGCAGACACCATCAAACGCAGTGTGTCTCTCTATGCATGTGTGTGAGTTGTGTTTCTTTTCTATTACGAGTATGATTGGTAAACCACATGTTCATCGTTCCAAGTGTTGGAAGCTGGAAGAAGCCCCAAGTGAAAAACCGAAAAAGCCTTCGTTGTGGCCGTTGCTCAACGCATTGAGTGGCGCCTAAATGCCCGATATCTTTCAACGCGGGTGTACGCCACGCATTTTAATGATTGGTCAATTTAAATAAACATTTGAGGCGTGCGTGCGTGTGTTAAATGCTAGTCGTTTTTAGGTAATAACTCGGGTAATTACCAAGGCAGGTTGAGCAAAGTGTTGCCGGAAGGAAATTTATTGAGAATAGACTTACTAAATGTTAAGCACTGATACTGCATTGGAGTTTTCGTGTAGTAGGTAAAAATATGTAGAAATCAAGATTTATCAGAATACAATGTTTAAACGTGTGCTTAACTTTTAAAGTAATAGAGATAAGAAGGCAAAATTTATTTGTAAATTGCAGATAAGGAGATAGACTATAAGATAGACTAAACGGAAATATGTAAGGTTTGGTGATTTTCCTATAATTAGGGAGAAAAACATTGAGAAAATTTAAGAAATTTTAACTAATTTTGATTCAAATATTCTAACTTTAATTCGTAGTAACTCAATAGTGTAAGTCTAGAAATTTCTAAAACTATCAATGGATAGCAAATTTATTGTAAATTAATTCTACTAGAGAAAACACCCGCATGCGCATTAGCCAGTTTTGTGTAGTAAGTGAAAATAAATCAAAATGACAATTTCTCGACGAAAACTTTGAACATCTGTAACTTCCAAACTAACAGAGATAAAACAAAAGCAGAAATTTGTAGCAAATTATAGATAACAACCTATATTAAATAATAGACTAAACAGAGCTTTTGCATAATATTACCACTTGCCTGTAATTTGCAGTAAAATCACAAGAAATTGAAGTTGTTGTAACTAATTAGAAGGGAATAAAATATTATCAAACTTTTGAATCGTGATAACTCAAGGTAATTAAGACTGGGCTTATTTCAATATCAATGGAAGCAGAATTTACTAAAGATTAATCACACCAAAGATGAAAGGCATGCGTATTGTAGTTTTCACTTGACAGAAGAAATGTGAAAATATTAATTACGCTCCGGAAACCAAAGTTATAAAAGCTATACCTAAAAACCAACATTGCATAACGTAAATCCATTTTTCTATCATGTGCTAAATCTCAAACAAGACAATAACATACACTCCAAAACACGATCGCTTAAATATTAATACTAATTACTCCATAATTAAAGTAAATACATAAAAACATGCATTTTCTTAGTTATAATCCATAAAAATGTGAAAAATTCTCTCAACTCTCATCTCTAGTTATACTCATGCACGTATTTATTTGCCTTTATTTTATTCAAATTTAACTCTTGTTGTAATGCTAAGTTCTTTTTATAGCACAACACCGCATAATAAATGTGAAATTAAAATGTAAGTCAATTAGCGAGTGGTTCTTCTCGTGTTTGCTCCGCACATACGCCACAGCACGCACGAGCGTTTTTCCCCATATTATATTAATTCATAAACATGAACACGAAGCACATGATGCAAAACGCATGCGGCGAGTCCATGGGAACTGCTGAACGGTCATTATCATTGTGCGCCGGCAGACACAATAAGCTCCACGACAGCAGTCAGCGTTTTAAACGTTTGCTTAAGATATGTGCGTGGGATTTGCCTGAATGTGAATTCATATTATGATTAAATTGTATTCGAGGGAATGCGTGAACAAACTGTTTCTTGATTCTTGTCGGAATGCACGAAAAGGAATAATATATTGGCCGCGATTGTTTCGGGGTGGTTAGGATGGTGATAGGAGAGGTGGGTGAGCGTAGGTGCATCCAGACATGACTCGCTGGCCGGGCTGAAGGCATTGCAACCCAAAACAAGCCCTCCAAGAGACCTACATCCCGATTTAAAATCAAGCAGAAACGCGGAAATTTTGTGATTTTTGATGGTTTTTGATGCATAAATCAAAACACAAGAGATATCAATGTGAATCTTTCAGGATTTTGTTCAGTGATAAATTATTAAGTAATTTATATAATTTATATAAAAATTGTTATTGCAAAAGAAGTGCTATGGGCGTCCAAAGTAAATAAACATTATAATTCCTGTTTAAATGTTTATAACTCAGTGATGATAAGTGTTATCAATACAAATCTTAAATAAAAACATGCGTAATTTTGGTGGGTGTGATAATAGTGCAAAAATAAGTATTGTATAATTTTGGTTTACGCGTTATTGATTAATAACCAACAAAATCAAAATTTTTGTTTATACGTGTTAAATGCCATGTTTTCTTCTGGGGTTTTCATGAATTGCCACAAAACCAAAAAGTGATACAATGCTAATTCCTTCATAGTTTTATTAACAATTAAATTTCTATGATATTATGCAAAAAATTGAAAAATATCTAACAACAACAAAAGTTACAGCTTAACAAAGTTGATTTTCTAAAATTTTCGTAAACGTTTGTTTAAACGTTAATAACCGGTGATAAAAATGTGTTATCAATACAAATTTCACTTAGAATATATGCGGGACTAAACTGTGAATACACCTATACATAAATTATTGTTATATCAACTTTAGTTCTCTAGTTATTAACTAATAACTAACAAAGAGTGCGATTTTCTGCTCGCTTAAAATAAACGCCTTGTTTTCTTAAGTTTTTAATTAATTACACAAAAACAATAAGCGATACAATAATAATTCTTTCACTATTGTATCTAGTACTAAATTTTACAACATATTATGTAAAGATTACATAAAATATTTGACTACCAAAAAAGTTACAACCAAATAAAGATGATTTTCAAAAATTTCCAAAAAATAATTTAAATGATTATAACTCATGATAGCAAAATGTTATCAATATAAAAATTACATAAAATATATATAATTTAATTAGAAATGCAATAGCGAAAGAATTATTACTGTATCTCTGATAGTTTTTGAGTAATTTATGATTTTATCAAAAAAATCGAGGTTAGTTTCCTTTTTGTTTAGTTTTCGTTCTTTTGTTTTGATAGGGGTCTCTTACCTTTCTTCCTGCAAACGTTTGAGCTCAACCATCTCGAGTTCAAAGCGCAGATTGCTGTTCTCGCAGAGCAGGAGGTCGCGCTCGCTGGCGAGCCCATCCAGCTCGCGTTTCAGCCTTAGCAGCTGGTCGCGCTGCTCGCGGATGACGGCGTCCTTTTGCGCCAGCAACGCGTGCACGTCCTCCGCCGTCGCCGCCGCTGCCATCATCATCGTGTGCACACTTGCACACAACACACTCACACAACGCACTCGCGCGTGTTATTGTCTCCCGCACGCACGCCGATCGTCCTGGGAGTTGCGGGAGTACTACTCCTGTGGGAACACTGGATGCGAATGCAAGTCCTACGGCACTATCCAGACTTTGGTTCGCGCGAACATGCTGCGCGAGTCAGCGCGTATTCCCGGCGTGTCAGCTGTCGGCCGTCCGTCGCTTTCAAACCTTCCGGACACAACACACAACACTGACAGTTAACTGGAGCGAGCCATCTTTAATAATACAAGCGCGGCGAGGAGTTCTTGGAACGAATGCGAACGATTTACCGCCAGAGGCTCTGCGCTGCGCGCTCTGTGCGCTTTCAGACCGGCGCATACCGGCATTTTATTGTTTACCTTTAATATAGGCAACCAAGTATACACCAAGAAAACAACTGTTCACAAAATTATAAATTACAAGTATTACACTCAATTAATTAGAATAATATAAATTTAATAACATTATTTAATACGTTAATATTTATTTTATTAAGTTATCATATACTTAAAGTATATATTTTAATTTTATTATATTAAATACAATGTTTTAACATAGGCAACCCAACATACATCTTACACTAAAAATAATTGATATTTGAACAATCATGGCCGTTACTTCTCACACTTCAATAATTTTATGTAAGTATTTCTTTAATTTAACACATCCACAACTGGAAATATTCATATTTATTAAACTCGTTGAATGAACACTTTGATTGTATCTAGTCCCGTATAAATAACAAAATTATATCGAGGCATTTTTACGAAATAAAAGAGAGAACACTAAAAATATGTACAAGCAGATACAGTACCTAAACATTTAACACATTAATTCAAAGACATACAATAGATATATTTATATAAAATATATATAGACGCGTGTGTTGTGCGTAAATATAGGAATAAAACGATTGCACAACAATGGCGCACTACTCATTAAGTGCAAATTTTGTAATACTCCAGCCTCTGCTGAATCTTCAAATTGTACTCCTCCATGCGGCGATTTAACTCATCAATTTCAGCCTCCAGCCGCCCTAATGTATCATTAGGATTCTGACTGGTCACCTTGTTGAGGTCGTCGTGAATTTTATTGATACTTGCCGTCAATGTAACAGCACGATTCACTAAATTCTTCGCCTTGTCCTCGGACGCTTTCACTTTCAACATTGACTCATTCAGGGCGTTTGCTGTTTGATTATAACGTTTATGCAAGTCATCTAGTTGTTTACGAGTCTCCTTTGCTTCTTTATCGATGTTTTGTGAGGTCACCATGAAGGTAGAGGCTTTGTTTTCGTTACTGGAAGCATTCAACTGGAGGGAAGAGATGTCTTCTTGGAGTTTCTTGATGTCTACATCAGTTCGGTTGATGTCATGCTTTGCTTCTTCATATTCATCTTCAACCTAACCAAAAATAGTTATTTAAATGAAAATTTTCTTTAAAAATGTATTGACTTACATTATTTAGAAGAGTTTCTACTTTGGAGACACTTTCACCAGCTGTACGAATATCATCATCAGCTCCCTGCTGAGCTAAACTACTGTTTGTCAAAGTAGCACTCACTGTGTCAGTGATATTACGAATTTGTTCAACGCGTTCCCTAAAATATAACAAAACCATAAATATCTCGTTATTAAATATATAAAAATCAACTTACTTAACAATATCAGCGCTTTCTTTCAACTGCTGTGCTCGTTTAAGATCCTCTGCAGTATCAGCAATGATCCCATCAATATTCTCCTGTGTCTCTGAAGCCTTTTAATCTTCTCTGCAAGTGTACGAATCTCATCCTTATCCGAAGCTATCTTTTTATCCAACACTTCTTGAATCCTCTCCTCGATATCCTCTGGTTTAGTAATATTACTATTCAAAAAGTCCTGTAATTCTTTCTTAGTGAATGCAAGACGTGTAAAAGTCTCATTAGCCTTAACCCAAGCATCAAACGCTGCATTATAAGCAGCTTCAGCGTTTTGTTTCGATAGTGTTGTATTAACAGCGTTGACATTTCTAATAAATTCATTGGCTTTTGCTTCTTTTTGTTTCAAGATGTCTTCGGTTTCATTGGCGAACTGCAACGCCATCTCAGCGAGTTGTTTAGCTCCATGTTCACAAGACACAGCTACACCACAAACTCCACAACCTGCACCACCACAGATTGAATCACAGGGATCACCTCGACGATCACAAACTAAATTATTCAACTCTGGCATGATACTTGTTAGATTCTTAACATTTTCCCTGATTTCTTTGAGTGTTAACTCTTGTGATTCATGGTTGACGTCGAGATCATGTTTTGTGGAGTTGACAAGACTATCAATTGCTTTGCATTGTCTTGCTGCGTATTCTATGTTGTGTTGGGCAGACATGTCAGCTTTCTGTACAGCTCTGTTAGCTTTTTCTTTAGCTTGTTCTATGAGGGTTAAAGCTCCTTGTACGTTGTCTTCACGGACTAATGTAGCGTTATTTTGGAGTTCTTTTGTTTTATTTACTAAATCTTGTAGTTTTTTCTCGAGTTCGTTTAGTTTTCGTTCACCTTGCTTGTTGTTGATGTCTACTTCAGCGAGATTATCTGTGAGGGCTTTCAGAGGGTTGTCATTGATGTCCTTGATGCGTTCTTTTAATTTTTCTGATGTTGAATCGATGGATTTTAGGTCAATTACTTCGGTTCTTTGCAGGAGAGTTTCTACTTCATTGAGTTTTGATTGCATTTCATCGAATTCTTTTGTGTAAGCGCCTCGGGCACCTTCTTTTTTGATTGTCTTAGCTCTTTCAATCTCGATTATGGTGTTATCTTAAAAAAACAAACACAAATATTAAATTTTTAAACAGGAGAAGTTAAACAAACATACTTTCATGTTCATGTAGTATTCTATCCCAGTTATCGAAGCATTCCCCGCATGGTTGACAATGTGGTGCATCTCCAATGTATCCTCTCGCGCATTTATCACAACGATCACCACCAATCCCAGGTCTACAGACGCACGCGCCCGTTTTACGATTACATTGGAAGTTTAATGTTCCATATGGGTCACAGTCACATTCTAAAATAATTTAAAATAAACATTATTTAATTAAACACAAGAAAATCACCTTGTGATGAAGTTAGTATAAAATAATTTAGTAAAAAAATGAATATCAACAGCTTCATGATTGTAAAATGAAATGAATGAAGTTAAATTGTTAGAAATTAGATAAAATCGTGTCCTCATTAGATTAAATTGATAAGATAATAGTAACAAACATACTGTGACACTCGTTCAACTTCGGATTGCCCCAATATTCGGCTTTGCATTCGTTACATTGTCGTCCGCCATAGTTGGGTTTACATATGCATTGTCCTTCATACTAAAAACAAAAAATCATAAATATCAGATCAATATTCCTGTTAAAACAAAAATAAAACTTTGTTACTTACTGGATGACATTGTGAATCAATTGATCCAACTTCATCACATCCGCATGGTTCACACCCGACACCACTAGCGATCTTTCCAGTGATTAGGCGCACACGTGTCACAATTCCTCCCGATGACATTAGGATAACAAGGACATTGTCCAAAGTCAGGATCGCAATGACCCGCGGTTGAATTTGTGCCCAAAATGTCACAATAACACTCTAAACACAAAAAAAACAAGATTTAGTATAAAATCATACAAATTTTAAGGTTATATTTACCTGTACATGTTTCTCCATCACTATCTCTATAGAAAGATGGTTTACACTTCTCACAGTGATCCCCTGTAGTGTTATATAAGCACTGCTTACATTGTCCTGTTTTCGCATCACAATTACCCGGACTCAACGGGTTAACCTTATTGTTACAATCGCAAGGACTACACCCACCAAAAGGTACCTCCGGATTACCAAAGTAATTATCCGCGCAGACATCACACCTTGCTCCTGCATATCCACCCTTACATTCACAGATAACATCCTTGGTATAAGAATCCATCGAACATCTTTCCGCGTATGAATGTCCAGATCCTGGAATACCAGGACAAGGACAAGGTCTGCATGGAATATCTACATTCAGACGTGGGTCACCATAGTATCCATCAACACAATGATCACATAACCCTCCAACTGTATTATCTCTACAATCAAGGCAGGTCCCAGTTAGGGCATCGCAGATATCCGCATGACCATTACAATCACATCTTTGACAGTTCGGGAAGTTCCAGAATCCAGTCCGGCATTGATTACATTGTCTCCCATAGGTATTAGGCCGACATGTGCATTGCCCTGTAGTAGCATTACAGAAATTATCCAGGGATCCAATATTATCGCAGTCACAAGCCATGCAACCCTCAGGTCCAAACCCAAAGGTACCCGGTGCGCAGCGGTCACACCTACGTCCAACCACATTCGGTTTACATTCGCATTGACCTCCGTATTCATCACAGAGTTTACTGACTGATCCAGTTGGGTCACACTGACATGGTGGTGATCCATCGTAGATATACACGCCGATACTGTTGTAGTGTTCCTTGCAACGTTCTGAGATCTCCTTGGGACCTGCACTGTAGTTGAAATACCCGCAGTTGTGGGCTTCGAAGTCCTTTTGGCGGTTCTCAGCTGGAGCTGATCCGGAAAACCATGGGATACTATCGAAATTGGGTACTAGTACAATTGAATCAATTTGCACCACGGCTTTGGAGTTATCTTGACCGGATTTAGACTGGCCGAATTCTAGGCGTATCCGGTAGGTTTTTCCTTCTTCCAAACACGCGGGAGGTCCTACTTTCACGCTGCTATCATAACCAGGGAGCATGAATTGTTTCACGTCGTTTTCGATTGATTCGTGTTGACATTCACCGTTTGGATCTATGGGATCTTCACGGATGATTTTCATGGTTACCTCTTCCCAGGTTTCACCATTGGGGAGGTATCTGACTACAGGGTCGTAGTTCATGGAGCGATGGATGTTGTTGATGTAGAATTCAATGTAACTGTTTTCGGAGGTTTTTACTACTCCTGTACCCGTCCAGGTGTTACGCCAGGGTTCTCTGTAGGGTTCCCTGATAACCACTTGACAATTCTTCAAAAATTAAAAAAAAAATTTAAAAAATGGGTTTTAAAGTTTGGTTTAAGATACTTACCGGTGAACTCTTCCCAGCTTCCGCTTCGTACAACAAAAAGTCCAAACTGGCCGTGAAATGTTGTTGTTTCGGTGTACTACAATTCCTACCAGTCATATCATGCCGGCACTGACACTGCCCATCAATGACATCACAGAAACCATCAATGGCACCACCCGGGTCGCAATCACAAGGCATGCAGCCATCTTGTTTCTCCGATAAACCCCAGAACTCTTGTCTACACTGATTACAATCCCTGCCCTCCACATACCTCTTACAAGTACATTCTCCTGTGTAAACATTGCAGCCTTGGTTGTCTATCGTACCGAAACGATTACAGGAGCAACTTTCACAACCCTCTGGGTTAGCATCAGTGAAATTCCAGAAACCGTTTTTGCATGAGTCACAACGACGTCCCTCGACGTTAGCTTTACAATGACAGGAACCTGCTTCGATGTTGTTGGCAGGGTCACCGCTTGGGTCACAGTTGCCATCGTCTGTGGTTCCATGTGGGTCACAATCACAAGCTAAACAAAAATATTAAGTTTAATAACCAAAAAGACTGAAAATAGAAAAAAATTACGTCTGCATATTTCAGGATCTTGAATATCTTTGTTTGGGTCCATGTAGTAGAACTCTTTACACTGTTCACAATTGTATCCCATGGTATTGTGTTTGCACCCATCGCAGACCCCTCCGGATGTTTTCCCAGACTGCTCATAAACCGCCGGGTCAAAATGGCAACTCGTAGCGTGATTATTACAATTACAACCTTAAAAAATTTAAAGTTTTTAGGTTAGATTATAATATAGGTTAGGTTATGTAATATTAATAACTTACGTTTACATGCGTTGGCTTGCAACCCAACAGCTGGTCCCCACGGTAAATCATTAAAGAAATCCTCACACTTTTCACAATTCCTTCCTTTGGTATTATGTGTACACTCACACCTTCCATGAACCATATCAATCACTGAAGATGACTGCCCCGGAAGTGGTAGACATCTATTCGCATGTCCATAACACGAGCAGGACCCTCTTACAACCATATCCGTGATAGCATAGTAGTACTTCTCCTGAATCTCTTCTCTACGATCCAAATGATCATCACCCAAAGTATGCAACTTGGTGAAATTAATCCTCAAATTAGTCATCTTCATCAAATTCTGTACTTGACTGGAGTACGGGTTGTCAATGCGTACATGCGGTAGTAACACACGATAAATCAGTTCTCCATTGGAAGATGGCTCCACGTTGGAATACTTGGATTCACAGACAACATCAGCGAGGTTATGTGGTTGATCACGACTGACTCCAGGGAAACTCTCATCGCAGTTGTGTGCAAAGTAGCGATACACTTGCCAAGACTTTTTGAAGTCATACGAGCGTTCAATCAACATGGCCGCCGGTCGGAAGGTTTTGAAGGTTATGATTATATGAGTGAAATGAAACTCTGCTTCCAGATCAAGTTGGATGTAGACATTCTCTTTGCCGTTTTCGGACTGCCACCATGTTTTTTTATTCGTACCAGGGTACACCCTGTATACGATATTACTGATGTTGTGATTCATGTCTGGTTTCGGGTGATCAGTTGGTCGAGAATCGCACCAGAAGCATTTTTTCTTATCTTCTAAATGTGCTACGATGCAATAACGTTCGGCTTCACGCATGCCGCAAGTTGACGATGCGAATAATTGACTTTCACGGCCGATTAGGAGATTTCCGGTTTGGGGATAACAAGAACCTTTCTCACAGGGATGTGTACGATGACCTAGAGTTAAAAAAATAGGTTAGAATCATAATAAAGGCTTAGAAATTGATCCAACACCGTAAAAATTAGATTTTTAAGTAAAAAATGTAAAAATGTGAAAATTAGGAAGGACCAGGCCAAACACCATCAAATTGGGTTATAGTATGACGTCAAACCTGGCCGGCGGTGATTTGACCGATAGGTGGCGCTATCAAACGGAAATCGTGCGGGGCCATAGTCGAGATCGTTGTCGGGCGGCGGAGGCTGATCGCCTCTTAATAAATATGGCGCTGGTGAATTAAATTTTATTCAAAGTTTCAATAAATTAAATATAAATTTACCTCGGGATGCATTCGGATGTCGTGGTGGGCCAATCTGTTGACTTGAATATAAAGTTATGCAACCTAAAACACAAAAATAAAAAAATTAGGTTATAATTTATTATTTTATTTATTTTTTATATGTTTTACGTACTGTTTATGATCATAAAGATGAGGAGTGTTGCCGCAGCGCGACTCTCCATGATGAAGAGCCTTTTTTAATGACAATAACCTAAAAATAAAAAAAAAATTAAGAAAAATAAAATTAGATCTGCGATTGTAATGTGAGAAAATTCGAATACAAGCAAGAAATACACTGAGTATGGAAGACGGTTAAAAATGGGTCATTCGACAATCAATGTTATCGCACATTCGGCCATTATTTATCATCACCGGCTTGCGAGTTGAATAACTTTCATTCAAAGATCCCGAAAGAGAAAAAATGTTTACTTGCCCTCACGACCCGAAATTCTAAATTTCGAAGCGAGTGTTTGTTGTATGGACACGTTTTGGTTTCATTGAAACAATTTTTATGCGTTTACAAGTTGATTCAATACGTAATTCTAGCTGAATTGAGAATATTCTGCACATGCGATGTAATTTCAAACGTGCTGACCTGCCGGCGCCAAGAATACACCGAGAGCAATGAATTTATCATTTACAACATATAAAATTTAAAAATTTGTGTTAAAATTACATTAATATGCTTAATATGTATATTGGGTTGCCTATATTATACTAGTAACATATACATAACCTTTTATGTGTTTAATGTATTAATAACTCATAAAAATGAAGTAAAACACTCGGTGGAATAAAGTTCAACGAAACTTCATGCGTTTGTAATATTAGCATGCGCATAATAAGCCATAAAACTTAAAGTCACAATAAAATGTTGTTAAACCGCGCCTGGAAATAGATCGGCGCTATTTTTGGGCCTTCTCGGAAGTGTACAAGACCCTTCTGCTTGCGGCACAGCCAGCAACACGCCGCGTTACCAAAGCTGCTTAAGTTAAGACGACTCAACACTGGTGTTTACCTGTCAGGAGGCGAAAACACGTGCAATTGCTTGCCGTCGGGGGATGTTGAAGTAAACCAACTTCAAAAGTACACCAACGCACAGTGTAGATCCGCCAGTGACACGAACATATCCCAGGCGGTGTCGCGCATCCCTTTCAGTCAACACTCGGACTTAATGCACTTTCACAGAGACGCGTGCGCGCAGCACTCACACACGATGCTACAGAAGATGCACGATGGACGCACTTATTACTTAACTTAAGTCACTTGTTTTGATGTCATGTAATAATCACGTTGTGTTATACTTTGTGTATGTTTAAAGTATAGAAAGAGGTGAGGATTATGTTGATGTGAAAAGATGAAGATTCTTGCGCTGTGTGAAACTGTGTCGGTGCAGTACCTTCCGCCGGAGCTACATCGGGCGCACTGCCGGGGACTGGTATGGTCGGGTCGCTCCAAGCGGCAACACCGAAAGCTCTCAACGTGCCCAACGAGGACAACGAAAAGGAAATCACTGCGACGCGCACGACTTATCTACAAATACAACCCACGAAAACTAAGCGAACAACCCTCCTACTAAATTACTACAAACAAAATGGTGGTCGGGGCCTTTTAAATCCAAAAATATATTTTACTTAAACAACTCAATCAATACTTGTGTAAAGTAAAGTAAAACTTTTTGCATCTAAAAGAAGAAGAAAAAAACATGACTTAAGTTAAGTCACTTGCGCCTTGTTCAACTTAAGCAGCTTTCAAAACATGTGCAACACATGTGGTACTCTTTTTTGTGTCCCAAGAATGATTTTTTACTTTCTCAGTGGAGGGCAGTGACATTTTTTAACGTTATCGTGACCTATACGCTTCATGTCAAGAAAGATAATAACTGCTGTCTTATTTTTATTCATATTTAACTTAAGTAATTGTTAAATTTAACATTTACACTAGACGCTGATAGATACTGAACATTTAAAACACAAGCTTTGGGTTCTATAATTTCTATAATTTGTCGTTGTCTTATCATTTCCGACCAACGTAAAACAAAAGCGTCAAGTTTCCTTTCGGCGCGACGTGGGCGCCATAGATAACTTTACATCCGGATACAATCGGTTTAATTCACAAATTGCTCTCGGTTTAGTTGGGCGCGCACAAATCTCGTCCAACATTGGTGACAATCTCAATTCCCACATGCATTTTACGAAATTCGACTGATACGCCTATTGCGCTTTCATTTTGTAGAACTAGTGATGTTGTTTTCGTGTATATTGGGTTGCATATGTTACAAGTTCAAGTTATAGGAGAATATGTGTATTTTGTTAGCATAGGTCTTGGTCAGAATTTTAGTTTGTTTTCTGTTAATACATTAGTGATTCAGATAATCAGTAAGTTAATTTCACTATGTATTAATTGAATAGAAAACCAACCTTTACATTGCAATCAACACAAGCAATTAACTCTTATTCATTTGATGATTGATGATATTCAATTGATTGAGGCAAAACGCGAGTTTAGTTTTTAGGTTAGAAATCTTTTGAGTAGTGGGAAAGTAGCGGTACATTCAAAATGTTTCTCCGTAAATTACTTCCATTATATCTACGCGTAGAATATCGACAAGAATACAATCCTACGCTAAAAAAACAACGAAACATCAAGTTATTGAAGAAAATGAAGTTAATATAGATATAGATAACGATGAGTAAGCATTTTTTTGATTTTTGTCATAAAACAAGTTTTATTTACCTTTGCGTCGCCATTTTTTTCTTTTTCAAAAAGGGAATATAACCAACTATCAGAACAATGTTTCGGCCTCCACAAGGATTACAACTGTTTCATAATCCACCCATACATAAAATGGGGACCTAAAAAAGTATCCGACACAAATCCCACAAGACAACTTGAAGAAGCCGCAGCTTTGATCCGTACTCTTGCACCATGGAAAGTAAACGACACTTTAGCAGTACCTTTAGAAACCCTAGACAAAAAAGAAATCTTCGGTTCAGGTACAGTAGAAAAACTAAAACAAACCGTACGTCGAAATCAATCAATAACCGCCGTATTCATCAACGTAAGTCGATTAAAAAGCGTCCAACTTGAAGAATTGGAAAAAATCTTCCAAGTACCAATCTTTGATCGGTACAAAATCGTAATGCAGATATTACGCCTGCATGCAATCACGAAACACGCAAAATTACAAGTCGCCTTAGCGGAAATCCCATATTTACGCGCAAATATAAAGAAACACGATTCGCATTTCATGGCAGCGAGTAATTTCGACACCCGGCGACAAATGCTACAAAACAGAGAGAATAAAATCAAAGGAGAAATTAAAAAGTTACGTGGACAAAGAGAATTGTTAAGAAAAAGACGTCGAGATATTGATTATCCTGTTATAGCTGTTGTTGGCTACACAAACGCAGGAAAAACTTCAATTATCAAAGCACTGACAGGCGATGGTAAACTAAAACCAAGAAATCAATTATTTGCGACTTTAGATGTAACAATGCATGCGGGATTATTACCATGTAATCTTGAGGTGTTATTTGTTGATACAGTTGGTTTTATTAGCGATATTCCGACGAATTTGATCGAATGCTTTGTTGCTACGCTGGAAGACGCTTTATATGCTGTAAGTTAATCATAAAAATTAAATTTTCATTAAAAATCGTATTTTAGGATGTTATATTACACGTTGAAGATCTCTCAAGTGAAGATTACTTGTTTCAACGGAGACATGTAATGTCTACACTTGAAAATTTAGCTCTGCAGACTGATACTAAGCAATTTCAACAAAAAATGATCACTGTTGGTAATAAAATGGACATATCTCCATTAAAATCCACTGAATCTTCAGGAGAATTATGTGTTTCTGCTAAAACTCTTCATGGATTACCGGAATTAACTGAAAAACTTCAAGATTTAGTAATTTCACAAACAAATCGCATTGTTATGACCATCCGGGTACCAACAGGCGGTGATGAGATAAGGTAAACCTTTTAATTACTAATAAACTTTACTTTTTACGATTCATATTCATATTAAAACGTATTAAAAATTCTCTAACATGTGACATCTTTAGATGGCTGTATAAAAACGCGGCGGTCGTTGATGTGACACCAGACGACAACCAGCAGCGCCAAAACGCGCGTGTGGTTATAACAAGAAGTAAATTGCAACAATTCAAACATCACTTTGTGCAGTAAACACTACAAAAATAAATCCTTCACCTCTATAATCTAAGGGTAAGGATTTTTAAACGCATGTACAGTTTCCACAAACCATTCCACAGCTTGTGGATCAACATCCGGGTAGATACCATGACCAAGATTGACAATGTGATGTTTATATCCGAATTTGTTCAGCATTTTCGTTGTGTACTTCTGGAGAGTTTCCTTATCCGCGTAGAGAGCGCATGGATCCAGATTGCCTTGCAGGACAATATCTTTATTAATACAGCGGACATCTTGCGGATCCGTAGCCCAGTCCAAGCTGATCACATCAAAGTTCGCTTGTAGTTGGAGGTCTAAAAGATGGCGGCCTCCTTTGGCGAAGAAAACGATCGGAACAGACGGGATATTCTTGGTTTGTAACTTTGCGCGTATCCCAGCTGGGATTTGTTTGAGTAAAGGCAGCATGAAATCTTCGTAGACATCGGAGGTGAGGTATTCGGCAGAGCTTTCGAATAATTGTAACATTTGCGCGCCCCATTCGACTTGCATGACGAGATAATCAACGATTACGTCGGCGAGGCGTTTGAATAACTCGCGAGCTTGTTGCGGATTGGAATAGATCCATTTTTTCGCTTTGGACGCGGTTTTTGTTCCTCCGCCTTCGATCATATAGACCATTAGGGTCCATGGCGCTGCTGAGAAGCCTATGATGGGTACTTTTCCTTGGAGCATGTGTCTGGTCAATCTGATTGCTTGTCCAACATATTGTAACTTCTCAACTGGGTTGTTCCAGTCCAAATCTTTGAGGGTGTCCAAGGTTAAAGGCTTGGGAAATACTGGTCCCTAAGATAAATTATTCAAAATCAATTTAATATTGATTATATAATAATTTAAGTGGATTCTTATACCTTTTCGGGTTCCATGACAACTTCTAATCCTAATGCCTGTGGAACCACTAGGATATCACTGAAAATAATGGCTGCATCAAGCTCATAACGCCGGATTGGCATTAGGGTGACTTCACATGCTAGTTTAGGACTTCTGCATATTTCAAAGAAGGAATGTTGTTTACGAAAGTCTCTAAACTCTATAAAAATGATTGAAATTAGTGAATTATTGAATATTTTGATGATATAATAACTTACCAGTTAAATAACGCCCTGCTTGCCTCATAACCCACACTGGAAGTTTATCAGGAACACCTCCTTTGGCAGTAATAAGTATTCTTTCATTTTTTAAACTTGGAAAGTCTGTAGATTCAAGATATTGCTTGATTTCCTATAAATTTATTATATTAGAGGTTATTTTAAGCATAAAATAAGTATTACCTCTTCAGATAGATCCATAGTTACGTGTTTTTATGAAGTTTTCAGTTATAAACTGGATGTAATACTTATTAAAGTTAATCTAGAGTGACCTAGAAGGTGACAAACAACTTTGCGGTTATCCGGTTATGAATGTGATGATAATGAAGAATATGCTTGCTGAAATTGAGCACAGATGTCGCTGCGATGCACTTTTATGGTTAAAAATGACTAAAAACTTTGTTTTTGTTGATAATAACTTCAGAAAAAGTTGTTTTAACAGAAACTTTTTTATTCGTAATGTAATACTGCAAGATTGATCATAATATAATTGTTTACGTGCAATTTTTCTTCGATGTCAACTAAATTAACGATAGAGGTTTCATTTTTTTCTCAATTCTCGCAAGCAAACGCAACTACACAAAGTAAAAACGTTCGTTAGTAATGTCCAAGTTCGCAAATACAGAATACACAGGTTTTGATCCTTTATCGTTTATAGGGTGCAGTTCCAGCGCATCCGGATATGTAATGGAGCGGAATGAATCAAAAATGTTTGCAAAAATTTCGTGGCGGCCATTTTAGCTTATACATCGGAACGGTCGGATCTGTTTACAGATTTGACGGATTTTCATCTTCTCATGCTACATTTCTTATTGCATAATGGATGGCACACAACGTAATAAGTAAAAGCTGTTATTACATTGTTGTTGATTCTGTTTTTCTCTTTTTTTTTAATGTAAAAGCGGCTGGGTTAGCGTTTTGTTTTAAAAAATTGTTTCAGCGGCACGGAAACGGATACAACATGGCCAGACGTTTTGCTAGTTACTTCGCTTAACTGCTTAACACAAGTGATTATAGTTAACATTAGATAGTATTTCATATCGTAATTATTATAGTTTTCCTTTAATGGTAGTAAAACGGCGTCGCGCGTCATCTGCCTCTCTCCTATTGTTGAACCCTGTATGGAAATCAATGCGAAAACAAAAACATCAACCACTACGAGCGGCGGCGGCGAAAATCTTAGTTGAATTCATCATAGACGTGTGCATTGTGGGTAGAGGGGTTAAACCTCGTCCGAGTTGCTACGCCCCCAGAAGGCGTCGAAGCGATCGCGCGCCATCTGTAGTACATTGCGCTCCTCATGCGAGGAACACGACGGCACAGCAATTCTAACCTCCTCAATCTCCTGCTCCTCGTGTTCTAGTTCGCAGTCCGCTCGTGGTGCGGCGAGACGTCCGGCTGCAACAGTTGCACATGAGTCGCCGCCGGCATGAGATCGCAAGCGTGATGGCTGTGGTGTGTTGGTGGGTGTGCGAGAGAGCGAGCGGCTGGCTTGATGATGAGAGGAGGGTGGATGCGGTCTCTACACGCCCTCACCGCGCACTACTACTGTTGGTCTGTCTATGAGAGAGAGAGAGAGAGAGAGGTACCGCGTTTTGTTTGGTTTTTGCGCGTTCATATTTTTTTTGCTTGTTTGCTTGGTTTTTAAGGCGTCGCTCATGCTCGCGCCGCCACACCCATACCTAAAGCAAGACAACCAAATTCGGACACGGTAAGCTTGGATGGGCTCACGCCTCGCAGGTGCGACATTATGACATGCCTGGCTCTTTGCATGGCTGCTCCGTCAGCTGCGGAGGCGCCGACTGCGCGATCGGCGGCGGCAAGTCAGGCGGCGTCCACGCTTTTATCTCGCTATGCGGTCGCGCTGCTAAGTCACCTACGAAAAGCCAGCGTTTACTATCAGCTACCAGCGAGAAACTCAAGTGCTACTGCTACCACGCTACAAATTATACAACAAACTGGGAATTGGGACCTTCTGGACCTCAAGGTCACCCAGAACATTCTATTCTACTCTAAAACCCTTTTTAGGGCTAATCCCATCTAGAAATATGGTCCTACTAATAGAAAACACCTTTTCTCTTATCCCTTTTTGTCCCCACACCTGGAAAACCTTCAAATCAATTGTCTAGGACCACTACTCATCAAGACCTTTTCCCATTTTACTTTAGAGGGTATATAACCACTATTTAGGGAGTCAGGTGATAGGCAAACCCTTTTTTGCCCCCAATTTGGCCCAAAATGACCATTCTAGTCTAAAAAGGTCAGTTCCCGATAGATCCCATCTACTATCCAACCCAATTCATGATTAAAATGGTCCCAAATTTGCTGTAACCCTTAAATATCCTTCCCAGGTCCCAAAAATCTACTTAAAACCCTCTAAATTTCTCCAAAACCTTTTTTAGGGCTAATCCCATCTAGAAATTTGGTCCTACTAACAGGAAACACCTTTTCTCTAATCCCTTTTTGCCCTCACACTTGGTAAACCCTCAAATCAATTGTATGGGACCATTGCTCATCAAGACCTTTTCCCATTTTACTTTAGAGGGTATATAACCACTATTTAGGGAGTCAGGTCCTAGGGAAACCCTCTTTTTAACTTCTTTTAAACCTCCTACTATCAAAACCTTCTATTCTGGACCAAAAAGGTCACCCACAACATCCTATTCTACTCCATTTCCTTATTTTGGGGTTAGGCCCTTTTAAAAATAAGATTTTACTAATAGAAAACATCGTTCTTCTTATCCCTTCTTGTCCCTACACTTGGTAAACCTTCAAGTCAATTGTCTAGGATCACTACTCATCAAGACCTTCTCCCATTTTACTTTAGCGGGTATATAACCACTATTTAGGGACTCAGGTCCTAGGAAAACCCACTTTTTACCTTCTTTTAGACTTCCTACTATCAAAACCTTCCATTCTGAAACAAAAAGATCAGTTCCCGATAGATCCCAACTATTATCCAACCCAAATCATGATTAAAATGGTCCCAAATTTGCACTAACCCTTAAATATCCTTCCCAGGACCAAAAAATCTCCTTAAAACCCTTAAAATTGCTCAAAACCCTTCTAAAAGTACCAAAACCCAATTTTTCCTTCTCCCACTTCAAAATCCTAGCTCCCAGGTATTCCCCCCTACTCCCCAACTAATTCTAAAGAAGATTCTAGCAATTCTATAACTAAAAAACCACTAAAACCCTTTTTCTACTATTCCCCAAGGCCCAGTTCTAGGTCCCAATAAAAATATCAACTACTAGGATATGTCCACACAGGAATCCGGGTACTAAGGTCCTACATCATTGATGGATGAATGATTTTTTCATTGATGACCGCTGCATGTACCTTCCCGCACGTTCTGCGTGACAGTGAAGGTCTTCCCAGTGTCTAACGGCACAGTCCAATTGACCGGATCGGGCGAGCGTATCATAATCTGTTCGGGGCTCTTCACCCGCGTGGGTTCCGGTGGAGACTTGACCACTGGTTCCAAATCGATCGGATCCGGTTCATTTACTTCCGGTGGACCCTTATCAGTCTTCTCCGAAGCTGTCAAAAAGGTAAAATTAATATTTTAACCTCAAAATTATAGAAATGTTTGTTGTATGTGTGTTGTTTGATGTTTAGTGTAGATGTGTGTAAAAGCCCGTTGCAGGGGGTTGTTGCGGGGGCCTGGCGAGGGTGAGAAAACATCGACCAAGAGAAATAGTCAAAAGTACATTCAGGCTATGGCTATGGCTATAGATTTTCAGTGTGAAAGAATGCTACTTTTTACTTTTCAACATTTTAACCTTAAAAATGTTTTTAACTTCTAAATTTACAAATGTATAATGTATACTACTTGTTATACTAAGGTTATGTTCAACTGGTTGCCTATATATCATCGTGCATATACTGTTTAACATTAAAGTAGCATTCTCTCTAAATTTAAGGATTTTGGGGTTAAGATAATCTGTAACCATATTTGGTCGATGCAAAAATGATGGTCCTTACCTGATCGTTCCCGCCGGCGGTCCCTGGCATGCGCGTTCGTCTCATTGCTACAATTTTTGTTTGACTTTGACTTAACCAAGCGCTCGTCCTCGTGCCTAGAGGGGACTGAACTACGTTTAGATCGGGATGAGGCAGTGGTGGTGGTGGTGGTGTTGAGGGATGCTAAAACACCGGAATACCTCTTTAGTTATCACCCTATGTAAGAAACCACCCCATCTATTGCCACTCGGTTTTAAAATAACCAAAAACAAAAAATATTATAAAAAAGCAAAAACAATAAAAAAATACAACATAACCACATTAATATACCAAAAATATTAAAACCAACCAAAGAAAAACACTTTAAGAGTCTAAATTTTTAGAGTATTAATATTTCTTGCGCGTGTAAGGATCAAGGTCATTTGGAGATTTGGATTTGTGAAAGGAATAGTTAAAGATCATCGTGTTTGTAGAAATCGCATGCGTTCAAACATCAAAAGTGAGGTTATGTTATGAATATACGTGCGTAAGAGAAAGAGATTGAGTTAAAATAGAAAAGAAAGCTCAAAGCACACATAAACAACACACACACATTTAGAAAGGTTGAAGGTCATGCTTTTACGTACAGGGGCGTGGTCGTTTAACCGCTGGTGTGTTATTTGTCGTTGGAGTGGCTACGCCGTTGACAGCGACAGATGGCGCTGCTGGTGATGGAGCTTTTTATCTTTAGCTGCTGTGACAGTTGCCGGGCGTGATTGGCGCTTCGGGGAGCGTTTTTCAGTGGAGGTCATGTCGGATGGTCCAACTGATTGTGACCTCGCTAAATTATTTAATATTTTTAATTAAAAATTAATAATTAAAAGAGTTTTACGTGGTTTTTTACCTGTTTTTAAAGCACTTTTAGATTTGAGTGAATTCTTCTTCTGCAAGGCTGTTTTTTGGGGTGAACCCTTCTTGGGGCTATTCTTTTGGGATCCACGTGAATCATCATCGCGTTTTGGTATTGTCGGTTCGAGTTTTTCACGTGTCGGCGATAAGATTAACCCATCAAATTCTAAAAATTAAAAAAAAGCATTTTTAACCTCATTTATTCACATTTTAAGGTTATATATTATTACCTGTTCCACCTGTAGTGCGTTCTAGATGATGCCTGATCATATCCTTCATCAATCGCGAGTTTTCCGCATTGCGTAACGCTTTAGTCGGTGATGACTTTTTCGTATTCTCGTGATCCTTTTCTTCTTTTGTATAATTCCTATGAGCAGTAGACGCCAGCGAGAGGGCTGATAAGGAACTACGTCTGGAGACTTGGTCCCACAGTTCAACTTGCTTGTTGTAGATATCCAACTCTGGAGCTAGTTTACTACCCCATCCACGATTCTACAAAATAAAAAAAATCATTGTCTCAAAATGCGTTGTTTACGTAATATTAACATGCAGCGCCATCTACATTCAAATTACATAACTATAGTTACAAATAAATACTCATATTAACTTCAAACCCTTATTACCCACCCTTAAAATTCTTATTTTTAAATAAAAATGATTCTATGTTATTCTTCATGATAATAAATATCTCCACACAAAATTTTATCAAAATTGCTTCAGCGGTTTACTCGTAAATGCGACACAAACAAACAAATAAACCTAAATACCCATTTTTACAACTCTACTCTACTCTACTTCGAATGATAATAACCCAATTGACATACTTTATATTCTCCGGCCTTTTTGCGCAGTTCAACGCACTCGCGAATCCATTCACTCTTCGGGGGCGGCGGCGCCGCATCCCCATTCTGCATGAGATGCTTAACCGTCTGCTCCTCCATCTTCTCCTCCTCCTTACGCACTCCTCTCGCATACGGCTTGAAATCCTTGTTGTACACCGCCTCCGGCTTGTACTCCTCTTCCTTGATCGTGTTCGAATCATTAACCAATGGTTCCAATTCACTTGCTAACACAAAACACAAAAAACACAGATAAAAATAAGGTTATGTTACATTTAACATACTTTTAAGGTTATGTCACGCTTACCATTCCCATCGCGCGGTTCACACTCATTGCGCTTTCGGTGTATCATCGCGTTGGCGGCAGGTTTGAGGGCGCCCATCGACTGCGACTTGCGCGGCGCATCGGCGGCGGCATCCCGACGCGACGTGTGTCCCTGAGGCCAGGCAAACTGTAGTCGATATTCGGTACTGATTTTAGATATTGCTTTCTTTAGCAGTCCCGAATCACGACCCTACACGCCGGAGTGTAATCGCATTAAGTATCTCAATTCAGACGTGTACTCGATGGACACATTTACAACAACATTTTTGTTTGCTCGGCTTTAAAAAATTTCTCTCGCTATCAATCACCCCAAACATGATAACAACAACAACATCGATATAAGAAATATAAGTATAAATATAAGAAAGAGAAGGAAATGAAGAATTTTAGATTTCAATGCGTATCGCGCATGAATAGCCTTACATAACCTCAAATTGCAACTATTTACGAGTAGGTAAGACTATTCTTGATAATTGTATGATTTTATTTTGAAAACTTTGATTTTTTGGATGTTTAGAGCGGTTACCGTGTCCTCCGTGTTCGCAATGTCCGGATCGGAATCTCGGCGGCGTTCAGCGCTCGTCAATTGTCGTTGGGGGCGCGCGGGGCGGCCCTCCGACTTGCTGCGTCGTGAGGGTCTCCAGTGCGAGACGCCCCGCTCCTCGGACTGTAATTAAAATGAATACATCTCTATGTAAACCACTAATGCGGACATGCCGAGATGTACTTCCGGGTCGAAACAGATTCTAAACTCTCGGATTGCAACACATCCGCCTTCGTAAATTTCATGCAAATTTAAACAAATTTCAATGGATTATTTAGCGCACGGAAACGTATTCATTTTAATAGTCACCTGTCATGCATTGCGACCTCAGCTTATGTTTATTATTATTATTATTATTATTATTATGATTTTCATCAACGACATGCAGTAGTCAACTTTTTATTTAATCCTACGGTCCTAGAGAGGGTTGTGTTCAAGTGCAGTATGAATATATTATGTAAGCTAACCTATATTATTGTGTGTTTGTGCATTCACTTCCGGTTGCGGCTAAAGGGTGTTGGGGCTGTTAACGCGACGCTTGTGCGGATTCAGCTTTTAATCCTTTTTGTTTTCTACAGCGCTTTGAATGAGAATTCTGGATGAATGGTGTGTTGTTGGTGTTTTTTCAGCATCGATTTTGCAATTAGGAATATATTACGCAGTACGCATATCTATTCATAGGTGGCGGTCGCGTTACATAAGCTAAAAGCCATAAAAACTTATTTTTTGATGTTAAAAGTGAATTTAACCTTAAAATATCTCTTTAGTACGCGTACAGAGAGGATTTTAGTTTGTAGTTTGCATATCTATTCATAGATGGCGTTGGTGATTGATGTTACATAAGCAAACAGCTATTAAAAACTATTTTCTTGGTATTAAAAGTGAAAGTAACCTTCAAACATGTCGGTAACACGCGTCCAGAGTGCAACATGTTTTGTAGTTTGCGTATCTATGCATAGATGGCGTTCGTAAACAAAAAAACTGTCAAAACTGTAATTTTTCAGTGTTTAAACACAAATTAACCTTAAAATATCTCTTCAATACGCGTACAAAGCAGAAAATACTTCACAATTAGCATATCTATGCATAGATGGCGTTCGTAAACAAAAAACTCTCAAAACTTTAATTTTTCGGTGTTTTAAATTAAGTTAACCTTAAAATATCACTTCAATACCCGTACAAAGTGAAATATACTTTGCACATCGCATATCTATGCATAGATGGCGTTCGTAAGCAAAAAAAACTATCAAAACTCTCATTTTTTCAGTGTTTAAACTTAATTTAACCTAAAAATATCTCTTCAATACGCGTACAAAGCAGAAAATACTTCACAATTCGCATATCTATCAATAAATGGCGTTACATAAGCAAAAGCTTCCTAAAATTCTACCCCCTCGGTGTTTAAAGTGAGGTTAACCTTAAAATATGTGTGTAATATGCGTACAGAGAGTATGGCGTCTTATCAAAATGTAGGAATTCAGTCGTATTCGTGAAATGCTTTCGGAAATCAAGAGAAACCAAGAAGATGAACGCCAATTGAAGTATAATGCATGTTTATGTATATTAATTAGATAGTTAGATAGATGATCGTGCATTGTTACCCTCGCTCGATCAGCGGAGCCACCGTCGGCGGCGTCATGATGGTTGCGGGCTTCGCCTGGCACGAATTCGTGGTGGCGGTACGCGAGGTCCGGGTACTTCTTGCGGCGCGGCATCGCCGGCTCCAGCTTCGGCACTGGAGACATGATATACTTAATCACACGTCCGTTGCGCGACACACGCTCTACGTTCGTCGTGCGTGAATACGCCAACTTACTTTCGTGCGACTCTTCATCTATCCGCGTTTGTTGAAACTCTATTCTTCTTTCTTCTATTGTATTAAATATAAAATATTTTATATGTTGTATAATGTGTATATTGGGTTGCATATGTTATAGTTTTGAATGTTTACCGTTAGGTGGCATGGCATTCGCTTGTCCGCCTTGCGGAGCACGACGTACGACTTCCTGCCGGGGGCCGGTGTACTCGTGCCATCGATACGTGCTCCTATATTCCGAATGCAACTGAAAAATAAAAATAAATTGATTTTAATAGTTTTGAGGTTAGGTTATGTTATGTTAAAAGTGGGTTTTGGTCATTGCGAATATTTATATAAGTTAGTAGGATGGTTTTAGTTCTGAGAGGGTTCGTCGACCTCGCGTGCTCCAAATGGTGGATCAGCTGATCGGTGGCGGCGGTGGCCGGTGTACGAATGAGTCACCACTGTGTCGCCACCGCCACCATATCAGCTTTTAATACAAAAAGCTACGACAGCCTGGGTCAATATTTCTATCGACCTTGGACGATTTTTATTATTCAACTCTTATCCTCACATTAAATAACAATAAAAAAACAATCAAATCAACCCTTAAATTTATTATTCAATAAAATATAAAATAAAAAACTTAAAAATGAAATTTTTTTGATTTTTACCTTATCTACCGGCATTGAGGGACACGCTCGACAGAGACTCCAAAATGAACCGATCATCGGAGCGGCCGTTTAGTAGGATATGCGCGCACAAGAGATAAGGGATGACCGGGCGGCCATTCAAACGCACACACCGAAAGCACTAATTTTTCGCCGAGGTGTAAAACCGCCGATATTTTTAGATAATTTTTGCGCTGTTGTGCGGAGATAATACGTGATGGAGGCGGCAGCGGTAGCGGCACGGACTGTGTGTGGAGAGCGCGAGCGCCGCGACGCTAACCCCGAACCCCACCTTTTGACGGAAGCGGCGCGTGGCGCGAATCAATATCGCGACGCCTGTGCCTGCAGCGGCGCGGTTCCAGCAGCGCCAACACACGGCCAGAGAGAGTGTTACACACATTACGACATTACATGACATTTACACCCTCTATTACAATATAATTCATTCAGTCTTAAATGTTAAATGGCGCTGAATTTAATTATATTGATATAAAATTATTTTTAGACTTGGTAGACATATAGATATCAATGAAATGACCTTGATAAGATAATTAATTTTTAAGTGTAAGCGTTTTGTCTGTGTAGCTTGTTTAGTATCGTGTGATTCAGTGAGTAGAGCGCAGCGTGCGCGTCAGTGACTTTGTGAGTTGACTTAAGTCGGTTTTTGGTTGTTTATTAAACCGAAAATGCCGCACAAACCGGACGGGCTCGTCGAGCACATTCTTGTCAATTATCGCTGGGTGTTCGTGTGCTGCTTCCTTCTGCCGGCGTCTTTCTTCTATAATATTTGGTTCTACTTTCGCAATTGGGTTGTGTTTACGCTGAGCAGTGCGCCGGACAAGCATGATGAGCGTGTTAGGTTCATTCAGAAGCAGGTAGAGTTACATTTTGGACATTTGGTGTTTAAAAACTTGTTTTAACACAAATTCTCTACTGGTTTATACAGTTTTAGAGGTTATATTATGATTTAACATAGGTTAGAGCATGTAATACTTGTTTTTAGTTTGAGGTTATGAGATGTATGAGTATTATTAGTGTTTACAGGCATAATTGAGTCATAAAATGGTGTTTTAGTTGATTTTTGAGGTTATAAAACATTTTAACTTAATTTATAACACAAAATATTTAGTTTTGGGTTGAGGTTATGTCATATTTGTCTATAATATGTGTTTATAAGTATAATTTCATTATAAGATGATTTTTGAGGTTAAATTAGTTTATAACCTGACTTATCATACAAAAAATTAAGTTTTATTTTGAGGTTATGTTGTATTTACGTGTAATAAATGTGTAAAATGAAGAAATATGCAATTTTTGAGGTTATAATACAATATAACGTAATTTATAGCAAAAAAAACATTTCTTCTTCTTTGAGGTTATGTTTTCATGAGTATTATATGTGTTTATAACTATAATAGAACCATAACATGATGTACAATACTTTTTTGAGGTTAGATTACATTTTATCCTATGTTACAATACAAAATCCTCCATTTTTCTTTGAGATTCCGAATGTTTAAGTATTTTGCTTGTTTGCAAACATAATTGAACAGTATCAAGTTACTTATTGTAATATTATTACAGGTATCCGACTGGAATAAAGCCGGACGTAAGAAGAAGCTTTGTACCGCACGACCCGGCTGGCAGACGGTGTCCTTCCGCCGCCCGAAATACAAAGATGACATGCATCAAGTGGAAGTGAACCTCGTCGACATTTTGGAAATCGATGCGCATCGAAAGGTTTGCACACTGCTAATGATTTTCGTTTTTGTCCATTTCACCGTTATCTCCTCCACTCTTCACTCTGCACTCTGCGTGCTTATCTTCTGTTTGTGTGTGTGTTGTTTATACCTTATACCTGCATTTGAGTTGAATAAGCTTTCGGTCTATTTCCTGAACCCGAAGTAGTAGAAGTAATTTATAGCTCGAGTAATTGCTCGGATTGTTATCTGCATTCGCAATCGCAGTTGTCGCTCGGACCGCGCGCACTCTAATGATAATAATGACGCCGGTAATGAGCGAATGGGAGAAACGATGAGGAATAGGAAATGTCGTCGAGTGGAAGCACCTGACGATTTTTGCACTCTAAAAATAACCTTCAATGATAGGTAGAGTCTAATCTTGCGTAGGGTTATGTTGAGATTGAGTTCAAAAGTTATCTAGAGAGGGTACTTAAGTCAGGTATTTTAAATTGAGTAAAGTGTTAGACATTGTAACAATTGGAAAATGATTACAGTTTAAGTGCGGCAGTAAAATGTAGACATTAAATTTTATTTGTCATTTATAGGTGATTTAATCATCAGATAAAAAAGGAGAAAGTCTTATCAGATAGAGAATTTAATGAAGAATCTGAAAATGTATTTAGTTTTGCTGTAGCTTTAAAGATAGCTTTAGAATCTGTTAAAAACCATAGGAATTCATGAAAATTTTTTGATTTTTTTTTGTATTTTTTTTCTTTAAACTCAATTTTTGAAGCTGATAACAATCCCAGATAAAAACAAAATATACCATCCGATAGATAATGAATTTAACTATCCTATACCATGTTTATTTTATCAATTTTATGCTTTATTTAACCTCAAAAAGCTTTCAAAATTCCCTTTTTAAAATTTAACCTCAAATCCCATTTTCTCAGGTTGTAAGAGTGGAACCCTTAGTAACAATGGGTCAACTCTCCGCCACATTAAACCCCCTCGGCTGGACAATCCCCGTCCTCCCCGAAATCGACGACCTTACAGTAGGAGGGTTAATAATGGGCACCGGAATAGAATCCTCTTCGCATCGCCACGGCCTCTTCCAACACATCTGCACCTCTTATGAATTGGTCCTCAGCGATGGCAGCGTAATCAAAGCCACAAAACAGTCCAACCCAGACATATTCTACTCGATTCCATGGTCTTACGGGACGATCGGAATACTCACCGCGGTGGAAATACAAATAGTCCCGGCGAAACCCTACGTCAAACTCGTCTACAAAGCTGTCAAAGGGCTGAAAAACATCGTGAAAGAATTCCAGGCTGTTAGCAAAGACACCGAACGGAATGAGTTTGTTGAAGGGTTGATGTACTCAAAGGATGAAGCTATTATCATGACGGGAAATCTTACAGATAGACCGGATCCAAATAATGTAAGAAATTTATAATTTGTTTATTTTTGCGATAATTTGTGTTAAAATGCATAGAATTATGATTGATATGTCATTCGATTCATAATTTAATCAAGAATATTTTGGGTGAAAATCAATATTAAGGAATAAATATTGCCAGAGTTATTTACAATTAAGTAAAAAAAAAACAGTAAAGTAAAACAGAAAAAAGTTTTAATTGGTTTGTTTTTTTGCAAATATCTCAAAACCTGTTTGATATATTTGAAATTTGAAAAAAGATCTTTAAAGATCACAAAATTCTCAAACTAAAAGTTCTTACATACAAAGTTGTACCTGCAATATTTATAACTCTAATTAAAAGGTGAAAAAAAAAACGAAAAAAAAAGTAAAAATGTTTAACAATGTGTTTACGCGTAGGTAAATCCTATCGGTAAATGGTATAAACCTTGGTTCTTCATTCACGCAAGGAACATGCTTGGATTACACCAACCCGTCACTGAATACATCCCTCTAAGAGATTACTACCATCGGCACACAAAGTCTATTTTCTGGGAGTTGCAAGTATATTTAATCTATAATCTTTATTTCTATAATAGAAAAAATCTATTGTATTGAGTATTCTATTTTATTTTATTTTATTTTTTCGGTTTATTCCGGTTTGATTCACAGGATATTATACCTTTTGGTAATAATGTAATCTTTCGATATCTATTTGGATGGCTGGTTCCCCCGAAGATCTCTTTATTGAAGCTGACGCAGACTGCGGCTGTGAAGAAGTTGTATGAGAATAATCATGTTATTCAGGATATGTTGGTGCCGATTTCTGCTATGGAGGAAAGTGTGAAGGCTTTTCATGAGGAATTCAAGGTTAGTCAAATGAAAAAAAAAAATAGAAAAATTTATTTTTAGACCCTGTATATCAATTTTTAAAATATTTTAATAGTTATTATCTTATTCTGGGTGAAGACAAATCTATCAAATCATAGATTAGGAAAATCTGTTCAGCCGTTCTTGAGTTATACAAGGTGTAACTAACAAAATTTTGTTTTATTAGTATAAATAGGGATTTTTTGAGTTTATTTTGCTTTCAAATAGCCGAATAACTAATATTACACTGAAAAAATTTTAGAAATTCAAAAAATAGAAGAGAAACTTAAGTTTTTGAGGTTAAATCTTTTGAAAATGCTCGCGCATCGGCAAAATTCTGTACAATATTGCAATTTTCACATTCACTTCATCTTAAAAACAAAACTACATCAAAATCAACTAAATTTTACCATAATACAAATTTACCTGTCACATTTCCTTGATTCTAACCTCAATTTTACACTACCTCATAATACAACCCTCAAGCTATAACACATTTTCCCCTTTTACTACGTGCACCCAACAATATAAACTCTCTTCTCTTCACAGGTGTATCCACTGTGGTTGTGCCCGTTTGTGCTACCGAACGACGCCGGCATGGTCCATCCGCGCACGCAAACCTCCGAGATGTATATTGACATCGGCGTTTATGGGGTGCCCACCGCCGCAGGCTTCCGGCCCAAAGCCTCCACGCGCGTTATTGAGAAACTCGTCACACGTTTGAAAGGGTAAGTCGAACAAAGCCCGCATAAAAATGCAGCCCGGATTGGAATTGCTTTGAACTTCGAATTCCATGCTTGTGTGTGCTGTGTGTTTGTGATTATACTGAAGTTAAGTTATCGCATGGCATGTGCTGCACGTTCGTGCCCATAAAGATAGGCTTGGATTAGTTTAGTGAGCGTGTGGGGCTATTAATTATAGTCTTCTATCAGGTAGGTGGAGGTTGGGCCGTTGGGCATCTCGCAGAGCAGAGACACGTGCGGAGGCGTTCGGGACCTGTTTTAAGGGTGTGTGCATCACACACATGTTGATTATCAACAAAAAAACACCAAAAACATCTTTAAATTTCATTTTAATAGCAATAACCTGTAAAATGTGTAAATTTGGTTGCCTATAGTTCACAATACATGTAAATATGTGTATATTTTATATATTTACTTTATTTTTGTAGTTTTTAGATACACTCTGTATGATAGCAAGCAAATTCGTAACGAATCTCGACTTGTTTTGTATGTTTTCGTTTTTGTTTGTTTTATTATCGTAGTTGTTCGCTTGCATTGTGACTTTCTTCGACCCCAGCCGTCGACATTCCAACCGGGCACACGGGCCACACCTGTCCACCTACTTACTTAATTCCAGACAACGTCTGCGCGAGTTAAAAGTTAAACTTAAGCCAGTTCAACATAACCTCAACAAATACCTCATGTTAATATTTGTATGTATTTTTCTCTTAGTTTTCAGATGTTGTACGCTGACACGTACACAACTCGCGAGGAATTCCGTGAAATGTTTGATCACAGCCTTTACGATAAAGTACGTAAAGAATTACGATGTCTGGATGCATTTCCCGAGGTTTATGATAAAGTAAGTCGTCAGGCGCGTGATTAAAACCATCATAACCTCAATTATACACTAATAAACTGAATAAAAATATAACATAACCTAAAAATCAAGTTTTTAAGTGTTTTTCGTTTTGTGTTTTGATTGTTATCGGCGCTGGCGCCGCAAGACCCTGACTTTTACGATATTGTTTTCGTCTGCGCCATTGCGTCCTGCGTGCAAACGGTTTGTTATTCCGCCCCGGTCAGAAATACGGAAATTTATTGATTATGCTTTGGCTGCATGTGCTAATAAAGCGTAACGGTGAAAAAAAAAAGAAATGAAAAGTTTGCCGCCGCCAACGACGCCCCACGAAATATATATAGGTATAGCTGACGTGGATGCAGACGTTGTAAATCATACGTGAACGCATGATAACAATGTGTGTAATGTGCGAGACGTGCACGGCTTGCATGCGATTTGATTTAATTCCCAGGACGCCCGGAAATAGTTCACAGAGTCGCGAGTGGAGAGTGGAGAGACTAGACGTCTATCATACCACGCATTCCACATCCACTCCCTCGGTGTAGGTATTATTTGCTCAGAGTTCACATCTACATATTATACATAATAGATGTGCATTTAGTATAAATTTACATATAGTAGAGTTGGGAAAAGGAGATATTTTATATTTTATTGAGTTTTTAAGGTTAGAAGTGTTAGAATGGTGGTTGTCAAAGTTATATTAGAGGTTATGATAGAGGTTATGTTATGTGGGATTGTAAAAAGTTGTTTTTTGCATTTTTTGGATTTGTTTTTGTCCGAATAGCAAAATAATCACTATAATGTCCGAAAAAGTCATGAGACTTATGTTATTTTGCATTTTATCGTTTATTTCATGAATTATATGATAAAACTGAGTATAATTTAAGAAATACTGATTTTAAAGTGGTTTTTAGTCGCTTTAATAGTCTATTTTACGTAAAATGGTGATAAAATGTTAGCAAACAATGAATTGCTGTCATTAAATGATAAAAATAGCAGTTTTGTAAGTATTGAAACAAACTTAACCTCAAAAAGTACATTCCTTCACTTATTCCATCAGAAAAACAACTTAAAAACACATAAAGCATGTAAAAATCACTACTTTAACTTGTACTTAACCTCAAACGGCACTTTTTGTTAATTTTTTAACTTAAGTCATTAAATTTTAAGCGTGTTCATACTTTTCCTATATCATAACCTCAAAATATTCATTTTACCATTTATTACACTAACAAAACAACAAAAAACTACAAAAATGAAGCAAAAAACACAAATTTAACCTCAAAATGACGAATTGATCCACTTTTTGACTTAAGTCACTAAATTTAAAGCATGCGCAAACCTAATTCTATTCCTACTAATACTTTTACACTATTATAACCTCAAAAAGCACATTCTACCACTTCTTACCCTAATAATAACATGAAACATAACATAAATCTACAAAAATCAAATAAAAACATAAATTTATCCACATTTTGACTTAAGTCACTAAATTTCAACAACATGCGCATGCTTGACTCTGCTTTGCTCTGCTTCCACCGCTCCTACTCTTACTATATGCTTGCCCGTATAAAATAGTTGTGTAGTATACCTGCCTCTTCTACCTGAGGCCGAATTACTCCTCCTCGTGGCTTCCATTCATAACGAGAGTCATCGTCGCCGCTTTCTGTTCATTCAGTCAGTCGCGTCGGGCCCCCGTTGGCAGTCAGCAGTCGGTCATCAACGCGAGCAGAATGTGCTGATCACGTTCTGCAAACAACCACAAAATATTTACAAACTATAAACACAATTAAAAAAAAACAAAAATAAACAATTTTAACCTCAACGTGATAGTGAATTCTTTATTTTATAAACAAAATGTCTTCAATATGGATTTTCATCGTTTCTCTCATCATTTTCAATCAATGTAAGTAATTTTTATCAATTTCTATGGCACACTCCTTGGGATATCAATCAAAGTCAACCGAAAACAAAACAAACACACCCTGCAGGTGAAAATTAATTAATTGCGTTATAAATTATCACCGTTTTGATTTGATGTTCAATTTAACTTGTGATTTGATTCGCTTATCGCGGTTGTTAATTGAATGCGATGTTAATGTTAATGATATGTGAACGCTGTGTTAATTAATCACTGGGCTGGCGCGCACGAATGCGGAAACGCATAACCGTCTGACTGGCGGTACGAAGCGACTCACGAAATGAATTAGTAAGCATTTTCGGGGAATCTTCAGGTTGCTACTGCTACCTGTGTGACTGACTGTGACTATGGTGAAACAGTCGCAGTCATGCTTGGTGAAGTTATCACATTAGTTGAGTAACTCATTTGTGTGTATGTGTGGTTTATGGTCATTAGTCATTGCTGCGCGCTGGGTATTTGTAAAGTGGCTCAAGTTTGAGGTTATTAGCTGGTTTATGTGGGGAAGCGTTAGTGGGTGGAACAAATCTGGTTACAAAGTGATAAAATTAGGTAATTTTATGAGTTTTGTATGAGTTTTAGGTTAAATTAAGTGGATTTTGGGGTTTTGGTTGATATAGTGAAGAATCACGGTCTAAATTTGATTATTGTTGATTTTTTGTTAGTTTTTTATGAATAACTCAAAAACTATTCATCTTATAATTAATATTTTTTTAGAGTTTTATGCATAATTAAATTTTACATTAGATGGTGTTATTATTGTTTTTATAGTAGTGATAGTTAAATATTTATAAGCAAATAAACTCTGTGTTGTTATTGTTCATAAAAATTTATGATTTTTTGTTTATAACTCATAAACTAAAATAGCTACAGCAATGACCATTATATAAGTTTATGGCGAATTTAATGCAGAATCTATTGCCGTTTAAATAATGGTTGTATTAAATTGCGTTGTTGAGTTATCGTTAATTAACTACCGATTCAATTAACTTTCGTAAACTTTAGACCGTTATTCTTCACTATGCGCAACGACGGTCTAAAGTTGTCATGAATCAATTTTTGTCACAGTTTTTAATTAATTATTCAAAAACTATAAAAGATATTGGCATTATTCTTTTATTAGTCTATTCAATATTAAATTCTACATCTAATTATGTAATATTTGCTAATTCAAAGCTATTATTTAATTATTTATTAACAAAAATAGCAATTTTATTCAAATTTTATATAAAAGTCTATTTTATTGCATTATAACTTGTAAAATAATATTGATATTCTTAATATTTTTCTATAATTATAAAGAGAATTTAATTAGAAATCGATTTCGGTAAAAAAATTACTTCTAATTCAATTATTTGTTGATTTATTAATGAAAAACTCCAAAAAAGCAAATTTTTATAAAATTCAGACCGCTGTTCTTCACTTAACACATTCACATACCAACCTATCGACAAAATATTTTTTTCTATTTGTTAAAATGTCACATTTAACATTTTAAACCTCTTATCTCTTAAATCGTATGTAAACGGAACAAATTTAGTCACAACGTGCTAAAACTATAAACCTCTCACACACAAAATCGCGACTTTTGTAAACACAACTATTTCACATCCGACACACAAGTGGTAACAAGTTCGTGCAAGTTATCGCACGCCAAATATTAGTTTCTCTATTTGTAACTGCACACAAACACAGCCATAAAGCATTAAATTGTACTGCGGTAGAATGACACACAATCTACCTGTGATTGTATCTCACATCTCTCAACGTGTTTCGAGGGTAGCCAAAGAAGTTTTCAACGAGTTTGAAGAAAAGACATGAATGACTGAGATTCTTTTCACGCGTCACGATTTCCTTACGTTGTCGCATTCCCATAAATCAGATTACCAACTTGGGGAGTTCGGCATCGGCACGCCATTGCCGGGAATTAGGTGCTTTTGTGCTCCGGTTCTTATTGGGCCCATCTAGGGGTGAATGCTTTGCCAAAATACTCGTACTACTGCAGTGAGTTTATTATGTGAATGAAATTGTTAACCAGCCAAAAAATGAGAGGGGAAAGTCCTTGAAATATTTTACATTCTTTAAGTACATAAAAATATAAATAAAAAGTAGTAGTATGGAGTTGATTCATCAGAAAATTCAATACTTAATCTGTAGTTTTATAAATCGTTAAGCTTTTTCGTGTAAAAAAATGAAAAATGATTTTTTTTTTAGTTTTTTTGTTAATAACTTTTGAATGCATATAGATAGGATGTTGATTTTTTTACTAATATATTCAGAATTAAATTCTGCATTAGAAAGTGTAATAATATTTTATTAATAATTATTATTTAATTATTTATAAGCAAAAAACTATTTTTTTTATTAAAAACAAAATTTTTGTTTATTTGTCTATAAATTGTTATTTTATAATTTTATAGAAATAACACTTGCATAAATAAATGTCATATTTAATGGAGAATCGATTGCAAAACGAATAATTAATGTAAACTAAAGCGTTGTTGAGTAATTAATTAAAAACTGTGAAAATTAATATGAAAAATGTTCAAAACTCGATAAAAATCTTTTTTCTTCGCAGTTTTAAATTAATAACGTAACAATGCAAAGCTCTATAATAATTATTAATACATTAGCAGAATCTCTATTAATTTCTACATCTAATAACGAAAAGAACATCTTGTTATCCCAATTTTATCATGAGTTACAAGCAAAAGAAATTTCAGATAATTTTTCCTTACGAAAACGACGCTAATAATTCTTTTACTAATTTAATGGACTTTAACTTAAATTCAAAAACTAAAAAAATAACTAAATACTTCTCTAAATATTCTACATTCTTTTACAAAATAGAAAAAAATAAATACTAGTACTGGTTAATTAATCCGAAAGTTTTTGTCGGCTTGGTTGTTTTTTTGTGTGACTTCATCGTCTTTTAATGTTCCGGCCGTAATAATGCATAAACGCGGCCTTCTCTCGACAGGACGCGTCCGTCATAAACCTCTTCGAGGCCTTCGCAGCGTATTCGTGAGCTTCTGAAAACACCTGCTCTTTCACAGGCGCATTGCGCAGCATCCCGAACATCCGATCTTCATCGCTTTAACTTTATCTTCTCGTTCTCTATACACCCATACAAGTCTATATATGAGGGTGTGGTTGTAAATTTTATAAAATTAAATTATATGTTTGCTCCACGTTCCACGCTCCACGCTCTGAAGCTGGTAGTTGGTCGGTAGTTGGTAGTAGCCGGGCGCGTTCCGGTCGAGCGACGCACTGGATTCTTCACATCTTCACATCTTCACGCACACACACTTATAAATCAGTTGGAAATCTCTTGCAGTGAATGTTTTAGGTTATGTCTATGTATATGTATCTTCAGCCGAAGAGTTATTTTCGCTCGTGCTCTTATTTATTCTGTTTTTGCCTCGTTCCTGCTTACCTATTGCTTGTTTTTTGTAATTTTCACATCAAGTTCAAGTGTGCAACGCGAGCCGGTAAATTATAAATTATAAATTAACCTTTCGTGCAGTTGTGCGTTTTAAAAATTAAACAACACATAAAAAAATATAAAAAAAATATGCACTAGATGGTTGTGTGGTTGTGTGTGGGGTTATTACGACCCATCCGGTGAGGGTTTTGGGTTCGGGCTTCCAATTAAATAAAAATGCCGATGTGTTTGGTTTTTCTTCTTTTTTTTTAAACCCCGACAGAAAATCGGTTCGAAAGTGGTTTCTTGAGGCACACGCAGCCCCGGCGGCGGTGGGCAGCATCCCATCGATCGATGATGGTGATGAGAAGGATGGGGAGCAAGTTTATACTTAACGCTAACGAACGGACCTAAATTTAATCGCTTATGACTACCTTCTTTATTTTTTCGGTGTTTTTTGTTAGGCGATGCAGTACAACGGTCAAAACTTTTTAAGAACAGATTTTGGAGTTTTTAATTAATTACTCGGGAGTGGAACGTGCTACAGTCATAATTCTTTTATTAATCGATTCTGGAATTAATGCTGCATGTATTTTTTATTTTTCTGGTATTATCAAAGCTGTAGATAAATATTTATCCGGTTTATAAAAGAGTTTAGCATGAATTTTGTGTATTTTGTTAAAAATTGACAAAAAACATGATTCTTTATTATATTTAACAAAATAAGTATCTCTACGCATGTGGAATTTAATGCAGATTCTGATAATGTATAAATAATAGTTATCGTGTCTTGCAATCTTAAGTTATTAATTAATAACTGCGAAGAAAAAAGATTTTTATCGAGTTTTGAACATTTTTCATTTTAATTTTCATAGTTTTTAATTAATTACTAGATAACGCTTTGTTTTACATTAATTATTCGTTTTGCAATCGATTCTCCATTAAATTTTATATTTATTTATGTAAGTGTTGTTTTTATAAAATTATTTAATAACAATTTATAGACAAATAAACAAAAAAAATTGTTTTTATTAAAAAAAATAGTTTTTTGCTTATAATTAATTAAACAAAAAATATTAATAAATTAATAAAACATCATCCGATGCAGAATTTAATTCTAAATATATTAATAAAAGAATCAACAATCTATCTATTTGCGTTCAAAAGTTATTAACAAAAAACCAAAAACATTTTTCTAATTTTTTGACCTCCGAAAATAATAAACTAACCAGCTTTAATTATCGCCTAGAAGATTTATATCCATCGCCATACATCAACTTCAAACCGAAATTAAACGCATTTAAAATTCCGCCATTGTTAAACGATCTCCACTTCTCGATCGCGCCGGAAACTGCGTGAATGAGAATCACCACACGAACGGAAGGCTTAAAACCGCATTTCGAGTAAATCCCGTCGGCACCTCGCGCACAAAACATGAAAATCATATGCAACAGATGGTTTTTCAGTCACACCTCATCGCCTACCACAATACCGCCGCATAATAGCGCGCGAGTGAGGTTAGGAATATCACCGCCGGCGCATGAATACGCATACATACATTGAA